ATTTCACCTATAACCATCTGAAACTATTTCCATATAGCAAGAATGTTTTCAAATATATTATTTATACTTCCTAAAGCTTGTCATCGTGATTAATTAGTTGACTTTTAAATTTAGTTTACATTAGCTTGCAGTTAGACGGATGGACGCACAATTTTCTCTTTTGATCATAAACCAATTCGCACCTCAGCACAGTTTTCAGCTCGATTGATTATCACTTTCTTCGTTTTGATTAACACCTTATGCGACACTTTTCTCTTGGCCCACTAACTAAGCCGCAAAATGGCACGACCAAAGAGGGATAGAGAAAAAAATTAAGTGAAAATCTGCCCAGGGGCTGGAAACCTTTTATGTTGAGTGGCGGTGTGTAAAAAAAAATTAAATGTCGAGACAGACAGATAGATAAAAAACGCTGGCCGTGACTTTGAAGAGCAACCGAGACTCAAATGCAAAAGCTACAGGATAAAGTCAAAGCCGCAATGCCGCATCCTGAATCCTATTTCCCCAGCATCCAGGCATCCTGGCAACCGTTGTAGGTCCGAAAAGCTGCACAAATATAATTATAAACGTCTGCTCGGCCATTAGGTTCTGCGTTGGAAGGCCCCACCTCTGAGTACCGAAACATCCCCCAGTTTCTGCTCCAATTTGGCTTGGGGCGTGGCACTGCCAACCGGCTGTATGGCTGTAGCCACCCACCCACCGACCATGTTCCCCATTAGATGGGTCTAAATTTAGTCTGGTTTGTCTGGGCAGGTTCATGGAAATTGTCGCATCTCGCATCAAGCGAAAACATCAATGGAGATTTTGAGTGAAGTGGGAACAGAGCAGGGTAGAGCAGCTTTGATTTTGATTCCGATTTTGTAGCTGCATGGCGCTGTACGCTTGACATTTCATGCCGTTTCAGTTCAATGGCCAGGCAAAAGGCAATCAAATTGATGACTTTACTTTTCACCCCAAGCCCGGTTCCTGTGGCTACATTTCAATTATGCTAATTACAAGCAGCCATCAAACACCTAATGGCAATGGGGCGAGCAGGATTTATGTAAGTCCAACCCCAATTTATCCCCACCATTTTGGCTGTACTGACTGTTCCTTTGCGCATTGTCATTGAGCTATTGCGGTTTGGCTGCTAATTTATGGGCTTGCAGTGAACCCACTCCATGGCCCCTGTGAGCCAAACTCCTTCTCCATCTGTAAATAAAACATAGAGCTCTGGGCCTGGAGTAAAGTAGTTTCCTCCCCTCTGAGGTTGTAAACATGCCGCACACACACAAAAGATTCCCACCTTCTTTTCTCTGTTTTTTTTTTGCCCCTGAAATTCTGCGCAAAACTATAGAAATGAAAGGAACAGACAGGAGATTTGCTCCTTTTGTCCTGGAAATGAAGTACTCAAATTACATCCCGAGTGTGTGTGTGTGTGTATGCCATAAAGCTGTCTGCAGCAAACCGATAATCATCTAAGGGCTTGTGCCACTTCATTTCGGAACAACAAATTTTATTATGCAGAAGAGATTTCTTTTCCTTTCAGGCTCGCATTTTTTGTTTCCTACATTGCGTGTGAAGCGCCGCCACAGAATAGGATATGTAGATATGGCTAGATATGGTGGCATTAAAAATAAACTATTCCTTATTGTTCCCGCTCCTTGGCAGCAAAAATGCCGCAGGCCGTGAAAGCCTCCTCACAAAAGACTTGCTCTGCATACACAAAAAACCAGTGACGATGACAGTAACTCTGTTGCAGATTCCCAAGAAATATACCTTCTGCTGGCTTTCCCAGAGTCTGCAGCTAATTTGCTGCTGGCTATAATAATGCTTAAGCCATGTAATAAACGCAGACTTTTTTCCAGCGTTTGGCAAGCAAAATCTTCGCTTGACTTTTGTTTACTTTGGAGGGCAAACAAGGAGCCGTTCGCTCCATCTCGATTCATTCCTCAAGTTAATTAAAGTTTTATCAAGCCAAGAGGTAGGCAGGCACGCAGACTACTGGAGGCATTTCCTGGAATGCAGTCATAGTCATAGTCATCTTCGCTACCCCTTAAAAACTTCATGTTTTATTCAATTTCAACTGTTGCTTTTGTTGTTCTCGACTGTGTAACTAGCCAGCGTCGACTTGTGAAGTACGAGTGCCATTCGCAAAATGGCTTTCAAATGCATTTTGCCTTAAATGCTGTTGGGAGTTGGCCCAAGTTACATCATCATCATCATCATCGTCGTCGTCGTCACCGTAGTTATGGCCATCATGGAATTCAGTTTGTGTCATTCCACGTTTACTCGTTACCGTCTTCGATTTCAATCAATGTGCAGCAGCTTATTGAGATCTTTCCATCTCTCTGCCGTCTCATTTTCCTTTCAGCGCGGCCTTTTGTTTTCCCTAACCTGCGAGATTTTCCAAAGTACCGAGTACAACAAAAGGAAATTCATTGAATAGAGAGTACAGAGTTAAGCCTTCAGCAGTTTATGACGCGTCAGATTCAATGAGTTCGTGCCTCAATGGATCCCTTCTTCTCTGATGGCGATGATGATGATGGTGATGATAATGATGATGATAGCGTTGCAGCAGCTGTCGAGTGGAGATTAAATGGAAAATCGTTTGGGAAATGTGTATGTGTTTAACTAGCAGGATCAAGTTCACTCGACTCGCAGATTAACTTCGCTTTCCACAGCAATAAACGTAAGGTTTCCTGGTTTTCAAAGTATTTTTCCCATATAAACTTTAAGCTATGTATGTATATAAACCTCAAATGCCTGACTTTTTTGAGTAGTTATTCCAGGTCAAAAGCATATGCCGTTTAATTGCGTACCTGTAAGGAAAAGAGCGAAATACAAACCAATTAGTAATTGATACACTTACATAAATTTAATTGGAAATATATGTAATATGGGCAGCATAACCTCGATTCCTATATGTTAACGACTTCCCCAACTACCAGTTACATGGAATCGATAAACGGTGTTCGATTACATGCTCGATAAGATATGATGTAGCATAGCTATGGAGACCACACTGCACTCGAGATTCGGGGCGGTAAAAAGGCTTTGTATTGATAACTCTTCTTTATCGATGTGTGTCAGAAAGCGCGGACTGTCATTGGAAATTATAAATCAATTTCCAGGCATTCAGCACCGATCGGCCGTGATAAGATTGCCGGCAAGGGAAAAGGTCGGATCAGGGGGCTTTAGCATAATTACGACGTGGCAGCCGCAGGGAAAGGGCAACTTAAGCGGCTTACCCAGAGGTTTGACCACCTCTCAAGTTGTCCGCACGAATGGCTGCCTATATGCTAGTGCCTTTCTGCTTCTACATACGAATATATGTGATGTTTTAATTAAGGCAACCGACGACTACGACGACTGTCCGGTCAGAGCGTCGCCAGTTAGCTGGCACGACTATCGGTCAATAACTTGGCCCAGGCACGCGCCACATACAGTGGAGCCTCAGTAAACTAAACTTTAGATAACCGTAGATTATGATGGATATTTCAATCTATCTATACTTAAAATAGGCACATTTCACTTCAAGTGTAGTTCATTAGCTGAATGCTTTTCTAATTAATTGAAAAATACTTGTATCTATGTGAGTTTATGGGCTTCGACTGAAACGAAGTTCCACCGTACACCTTTGGAGGTCCGACTATGTGTGTGGTGTTTATTTAGGGCTGAGGCAAGAGTGAGCGCATAAAAGAGTTGCTTGATTGCTGGGCAAACGGAGCCGAAATTGAATTTTACTCGTCATCTAACTGGGCGAATGTTCAATTATGCGAGGACAAACGAGTTTTTTGCATGACCATCGCAAAAGGCCGCAAAGAAATGGATAATCTTGGGAGCGGCTGCTTCGGTCTGTTCGGTCAGCTCATCCATCCATTCCATTTCCCTGGCACATTTAATTGCAGCAATCAAATGGTTTTCGGGGCGGTGGCCACCTGGGAAATTTCGTATGGCGCATACATATATCATTTAATTTGCCTTTAATTTGACACATGATGGGGCGTTTCGGGGGCTCGACTTCTTCCTGTTGCTGCCATTTGCAAAATGGCCGCCCTAACTGTTGTTGTCTAACAAAATGGCCGCCTTACGTCTTCCGCTCAACAGCCTGCAAACAAAAAAAGCAAAATGCCCATATACTCACACACACCCAGCCAGAGAACCTAGAGTTCATTGGTTTCTGAGCGGCATTTTTCACTTGCTCTGGCAAATGACTTTGGCCACATGCTGGCTCCAGCTCTTCCCCCACTGACTCCCACATTTTCTCGCATTTTCCCCGCCCGTGGCAAGTCGCTAAGCTGGGCTAAGTTGAGCGCTTTTCCGCTGCCGGCGTTGCCTTTTCTTTGTCCTTTGGCATCCAGCGACGTTGTTGGGACGTTCCTTGTTGCGCAGCAAAAACTTTTGCATTATGAAATTGTATATGTTAGCCAACAGACAATCAGAAAGTAACACTCACCAGCCAGGTGGCTGTTATACTTGCTAACAAAAATCTGATAAATATTTCAGCCCAAAAAGAACTAAACTAAATACCGCAAAAACAGATTTGCAATCTTTACGAAATTTGAAAATATATTTTCTTTTAAAATGTTAAGTCGTCTTTCGGAATTAACTTCTTTAAACTAACAGCAAGGTCACACTTTTGATTCTAGTGTTATCAACTGTATTAATGAAACAGTCTTACCCAAGTCACAAATTATTTAGCTTTTTAATGCTTGAAACAAGTACGTGTTCAACAGTGTAACTACGCACTTCGGTTGCCTCTAGCTGTCCGAACGTTTTAGAAAAATCGTTTGCAGTTTTCCAAGGAGGAAAACAAACTTTTCACCCCTTAAAACGAATTTTCATCTATATATATTTGGTTTGTGGTATGAGGAATTAAATTCTTATCTTTTGTACAAAGTTTTCGTATTTGTTTTATCAACTTATGCTATTTCCATTGCTCGACTTAAGTCGATTTATCCTTAGATGAAGACAAACAACTAAATGTAGATTTTATTGAATCTTTAAAATTTGTATATAATTTAATTCTGCTTTTCCAGATCAACGTCAAAATACGTATTAAGGCGAATTCTCCACACATCGTCGGTGGCAAATTTAATACTTAACATGTAGTTTCCCTTTGGATAGGGAATTTTCGCGAACATTTGATCGGACAAGACAAAGTCCTTTACAACTATATCATGCTATTAAAAGTATGGGAAGAAAAGCTTGGTAATAAAGGATAATGACATAAATAAGGTTTGTACTCACGTTATAAGGACAAGAATGATTGAAATTACTAAAGGGCTTCACAGCTGTGTAAATGTAATGGAGAAGATTCATAGGATTGGGATGTTTCAAATAGTGACATAAATCAGCCGTGACGTTGAATAGAAACGGATGGTATCCCGACAACTTCTTATAGACAGCAATGTTTACAGAGATTTTTTGAACAGGAAGCTTCAGGAGTTTTATATGCATGTTCTCTGCGATTACGCCACGACCCAAAACTTTAAGATTACAAACAGGGAATTCTGCGAAGGATTTGTCCAATGCTTCACACTTGACGTTTGTATGTCGGGTAATACTTTCACCGCGGTGCTCCAAAGTCAATAATATAGTCCAAAACAGTCTAACCATTGTAAACCTCATGACAGAAAGAGTGCCAACTAAATATCATTATTTTGCGTATCAATGAGACTGTTATGAATTCATGTTAAATTGGTTTCTAATTTGTTTCTGATCTAAAAGTAATTTGTGTCTGCAATTTGAGTTATCGAAGTGTAAAATCTGTTAATACTCACGGTGAGTGTTTTTTAAACTGGACTTTTAGTTTGTTAATAACTTTTTTAGGCCCTACATTTTATGATTTATGATTTCAGAACGAGGAGTATTATTATATATATTGGACCGGAGTTTGTGTATTTAATTGAAAATGGAAAAATATTCCCCCAAACTTATTCATCTTATTCAATCTATCAAAATTTGAAATAGGTGTATCACTTTATTACGAAATATCAGTATTTTCCTATTCATCCCGATTTGGACATATTGTTTCACTTCAAAGGGGAAAAATCAGTTTCCCAGTCGCGACAGGGTGATTCACTGATGCGATTGCCGGGCGATGGATTAAAATGCATTTTCCGAGGCTCATAATGATCCGGACCCCATGCCAATTTCCCATCTAAAGGGTAGTTTTCCTTCGGGCACGTGTGCCATAGTAGTTTGTGTTTTTCTTTTTTGTTTTTTGCCTGTTTTCCGTTTCTAGTCTGCTCTATGAACTTATGCATCGCTGCGCTTTGACAAACCATAATCCCCTGGCAGTAAAAATATGGATTTCATTTCATGTTCCATATTTTATGGGCTCACAGCGAAATGAGAACGATGGAAATGAGAAATAGTTCGCCCCAGTGCTAATGGCCAGTTGTTAAACTTTCAAATTGATCCATGGATTTTCACAGTCGGATGCGGCACACATTTTCCTGCCCCTCGTTTGAAGTTTTCTTGAATGCGTAAAAAAGAAATGCAGTGGGCCGCTCCCTCAGAATATATCGGGTATAAATCGTGGTGTCAAAGAGCGCTGGAGAATATAAATTTATGATTTATCGAAAGCATATGCGCTTACCTCCTACAGGAAGTACCCAGCGAGACTTTGTAGTGGCGAGTTTTCCCCAATTATTATTAGCATTTTACAATCGCTTGGGCATGTTTTGAATGGCTCTTTAGCGCACATCGAAGATACCACGCCCATCCCCCCATGGAAGTCGAGGAAAACACCGACAGATGTCCCAGAGAACAGATGCCCATTCCTGGGGGACCTGGCTGGGAATCAACTTCGGTGTGTCCACGCCCAACGACAAGGATTTCAAGTAGAAAGTTTGCCTCAAGAACTAAAGATATGTACAAATGTATGTATATTTCCGCAATTGAATCAAAATTAAGCGGAAGTTGGCAGCTGTTGTTGTGTAGGTGTCGGAAGCACTCTCCAAAAATATCCAGAAAATTCAGAAATAGTGTTCGCCCGCCTGACACTGACTTATGTGCAGGTTAAGTGCCGTCGACAGATTTTGACACATTGCGGGGCGAAATGCATATACCAGATTGTGTCGAGTCACCGCTGTTGCTTTGATTAGAGCCAAAATGCAATGTGAAAGTGGACTCGATTGAGTTGGCTGAGTTGCAAACGAGCACTTCTTTAATTAACATATGCTGCTGCGTCCTGTTGTTTGTCTTTTCCAAACAGCTGCTGCGGTCTGTAACTTTTCCCAGGCGGTTTTTGTTGTTTCGGTTACCGTTTATGCTGTCGGTGGTTGTCTAACAAATTAATTTCATATTACCACCGCCCGCTTATGTATGCACAGCAGCGGCCAAAGTATTAGCTACGTTTTCGAAATACCCTGTACCTTTCATTTATAATTTACAGTAAATGATTATGATATGATTTACAGTAAAATTAAGAGTAATAAATGATTACCCAAATAAAAATGTCAATGAATTATTTTATTTATTTTGATAACGGATTTAAGCTGTTACTCAAAACAACACCTCAGATATGCAAATAAAACAGATCTCTCACTTATTCGTATTACATTGACCTTAGCTGTGCGAGAGCATAAACTCTAGCATTGCAGTTCATTTGCCACTCGGGTTACATGTGTGCGGGATGGCCGTTTGAATGGATCCTATCCTATGCCATCGCCATCGCCAACGCCATCCCATCGTATCCAATCCCAACCTATCCCTCCTTCGGCAGCAGTTCCAATTGAAATTAATGTTTTATGGTTTCTGCAGCGACCGCACACGAATGGGAGAATAGGACAGCTGGACATTGGAGAAAGGGGGAGTAATTTCAACAGTTTTCTGCCTTCTGGTATTTCAACTCGCTTTTCCTAATGCCAATTTGCCATGGAGAGTTTCCTGTAAGTGACAAAAGAAAATGCCAATCCTTCGGCCAGACTTTCCTTCCCCTTTTCTCCGGGGTTCTTATTTCTTTCGGCTTGTCGCCGCTTCTTTGTCTCGCATTTGGCCATGGCAAATTGGACATTCTTCTTCAAATTTCCTGTTTATGCTCCATAAAATCCATCGAAGCGTTTAATATTGGCAACTTACGTTGGATGGAAATAAAGGAAGCGGCAGGAACAACGCGCCAAGTACGTGGTCTGGGACTCAAATTGGTTTGTTGAGGCATCTACTACGTATACTATATGTAAAATAGGGTGCTGGCGTCTGGCATTGAATTTATTTCCACTGTCTGAGTCAGAAAATACAGCTGCTTGGATATCAGACCACCTCCTCCAACTTATCTGCCGTGAATTAAGTGAAATGTGAGCGATTTGAAAGCATTTCAATTTATCTTATGCCATAGTTGACAGCTCTAATTTGAAGCGACATTTGCCTAATTTTCAGACAACAGGTAAACATCATAAATTCAGACTATTCTCAATCAGAAGTTCTAGGTAATTGCGAAGGAATAAATATTTTATCAGCTTGTGCACAACCTTGACAAAAATTATATTAAGTGAATGATATATCTATCTAACATGTATTCATATTGAAAAAGAGGTTTGACTGTAGTTTGCGAATGATAATTTGGACTGAAAAGCCTGTCAGGCAAAAGAGAGAGTTGAGTTACCATCATAATCAAAGCTTTTTTTTTTGCATATCAGTCCAAGTGGGTTTGGTTCATTGAGATTATGCAACTCGTCTGGGGCAGCTGGAAAAAATGCAGTTGCAGTTTTTGGGTTTCAGTTGCAGTGGCATTTGCAGTTGCATCCCACGCACGAATTGGTCGACTGGCGCCTGCCCACGTTTTTGCTGTTAATTGAATTTTTCGCCTAACGATATGAGCTTCATAAATAAGCGTGTACAATAATAATAATAATAACAGCCAAATCCTATCGAAAAACGTATCCCAAAAATGAAACGGGTTTCATTTCGATTTGATCAAATTTATGTCAATTTCAGAAAGTGTTAATTGCACTTGACGTGGATTTATGTGTCGCATAATTTTATCAGAGATAATGACAGCCAAACGCAATAACAAGTGCATACTTAGTGGGGCATAATACCGCAAAAAGCAAACTTTTTAAAGTTTAGCTAACCGAAATGCAAATTTAAATTGGCAAATGCAAATGAAGGGGCGCAAAGTTGGGCGGAATATTTCACAATAACAGCAGTTTACATTTTGTTGATTTATATTTGATGAAACCCGAATTCGAAATAAGTATCTGTCATACGTTTTGTTATTTATCGTTCGATTGAATAATACTATTTTCCATGATTTTGATTGGATTTTATGTTTTCATTTTAATGTTCTATTTTATTGGAATTGAGACATGCAAAGAATTTACTCGAAAGCCATAAAAACTTTAAATAAGAATATTGATCGCACAACTTTTATATCATTAGCATTTCTCCATTTCAAACTTACGTGAGCGGGTGAGAAAATGTTCTTTGCACATTTATCATCATAATTTTCTCATTATCAAATTTATTTTCGTTGCCTTTGTGCACTCACCTGCAAACGAGAATGGAGAAATGAGAAATCCAATTAATGAATAATGAGTTCTGTAGTTTTTCAAATAAAGCAAGTTTTAAGCAGCCCATAATTTAACCTGAGTGCGTTCACACCTCCGAGCAGACACACACTTTGGCTAACTTAATTTTAAGGGCATAAAAGTTTTACAAATATTTCCTTTTCCCCATTTTTTATTTGGCCCCAACACCCACACACAAAAAACGAGGAGTCCCATTTGTGATAAGACAGAGCCAGATATTTGTGCGCTCCAGTTGGCAACAAATTATGAAAATGAAAAATGCCATCAAAGCAGCGTAAATCATCTGACTTTGACATGCATTATTATTTACGACCAGGGTCGCCCCTAAAACAAAAGAAAAGGGGAAACACATAACTCTTGACTGTTAAGTACAAATCGAGTGGCCATAAAGGTGTATAAAACATTTCCGATAAGTACGATTTTTGTTCAGATGACAGCGTTTAAATCACATTTAACTGCCTAAATGTTGTCTGTTTTTCAATATGTGTATGTCTCCTGTATTTAAATACGTACAGCGAATTTCCCCACTACGCATAGTGAGCCCATTATGAATCATCAGCATTCAGCAAAAAGATGAGCAGGAAAAGCAGCAGGAACAGGAGCAGGAAAAACCGAAAGCACTTGCCATTTGACTTCTGTCTCGGGTCCCCGTTTCAGAATTTTATGGCATTTTATTTTAGCTCAACTTCAGCCCAATGCGCCACCCCCCCCGGAAAACCTACTCACTCCCAGGCCCTCTACCACTTCTCCCGATGTCTCGGCGTTTGGCCCCGTCAAAACAACATTTGTGCGTTGGGCAACCGCAGAGAGTCAAACAAACAACAGATCCAGCGACAACGAATGCACTTGGAGAAAAAAACCATTAATAGTGCTAGGCATATGGTTTTGTTCAAGCTACATCCATACGGAAGAAATGAGCACACATACTAGGCGTCTTATAAACCATCAAATTGTATTTGGGAGCACAGCTATCCATTGAATTAATGGTATTATGTTAACACATCCATTCATTTTCTTTTTTTATTGAAGATATTTAAGCAATTAATAAGAGATGAGTATCATTAGTCTCGAAAGATTGGAAACTAGTTTTTAGGA